TAGCAGGGAACTTCAATATGAATCAATCAATCACTCGTTCTTGATGTGAATGTGTTAGAAATTTATTGAAACAGTTAAACTATGGCTTGTTTGTTAAGTAATGTGTGCGTGTGTGTTGTGTGTGTGTGATTTTTTTTGTTCATTCGTTAAATTTATTCACCAAGTTTATTGCTCACTCGTTCAATCATTCACTCGTTCATTCAGTCACTAATTCACTCGTTCACACATTCATTCATTTATTTATTTAGTTCGTTGTTTGGTTATTGTTGATTTATTAATGTACATACGACAACCAACGATCGCCGTACAAGTAAGGACCAATCGAAACATGTCACAATAAATAAATAATTAAATATACACAGATTGTCTGGAAGAACATTTATTATAAAATAACGAACATAACATGTATCTTTTGTATATAAAACGCATTAAATCAATTAACACACACGAACATAAAACGTGCACATATAAAACAAACACGCACACAAACAAACACACACACACACAAACAAACAAACACAGACAAACAGACACACACACACACGTCCTGACTGACTCACCCTAATTATCGTAAGTTCAAGTTTATTCCGATGCACTAATGAAGAAAAAATGTTCTAAGCCTTTAATAGTACTCCTCTCTATTTTTCACCATCTCTTTTGATACTCTCTCCCTCTCTCTATTTCTCTATTAGTTTCACATGTGGAGAGAATGTAGAAGAGGGGAAGAGGAGAAGAAGCGCTCCATCCACTTGTTGCTGGAATGAATGTACTATGATTGATCTTTCGTGGAAAAGTTATTGTTGAGCGTTGGGTGGGGTAGAATAACAGGAATAAAAAATTTTCTTGTGCTTTGTGTTTTGTCTGTTCAGTTTCGTAATTAACTTTGTCACTCTCCTTCTGTCTCTTTCTTTCTTTTTCTCCCCCATCTCTCTCTCTCTCTCTCTCTCTCTCTCTCAATTTATTTCATGCATCCCATAATATGAATTAAAAATTGGATTCAAAGACGAAATTTTATAAATAAAAAACTGATAAATATGATAAAAATGAATATTGAAAACATTTATGCGGCACACACGCACACACACACACGCACACGCATACACACAAACACACAGATATATAACATATAATATAGTTGTATGTATGTTTGCATGCTTAGGAATACATTTATGTATGTATTTATTTATAAAATTACGTAAGAGGCCGAAGGCACACAAGTTATTTATTCCGACCGGTTTTTGTATTTGCCTCTACTTTATAACTTGTATTTGGGGTACGATGACGTCACTACGGACTCTAATATAATAATAATAATAATAATAATTATTATTATTATTATTATAGTAATAATAATAACGGCCAGATATCATGCTCCACAATAAAAGTAAGAAAAAATACCTCCTTATCTATGTTGCAGTCCCCAACGAGACGAATGCTGCTATAAAGAAAGTTGAAAAATTAAACAAACAAAGTAGTTGGTCCATTTGGAACGGTACGTCAGGAGCTGCAGAAACATCTCGATGAACTCCCTGGAAAGGAAAGTGTTGCACGAGTGCTCTACTCGGTACTGCCCACATACTTCGAAAGTTTCCAAAGACAGGAAGCTGAAATCCTACATCTCAGGAATCCGGTGAACTTCCGGTAGATACCAGCAAAAAAGGCTAAGGAAAATAACAATAATAATAACAATAATAATAATAATAACACACTAATAAACTTTATTATTCAGAAGTCTATGACATAACATGTAAACAATCAACGCATGACGTAATCATAAATATAAACAAATAAACAAACAAACAACCAACATGTGATGTATCCATGGATATATTATATTATAGATAAATAAACTAAATAAACAAACAAATAAACTTGTTTTGGCTTTAAACAAGGCTTGCGCTCCTCAAATAGCAGACTGTTTTAGCTAAAGAGACTGCATTGAAATTGACATATACAATTGATGAATTGATTTTACATGTAGCTTTTTAGTAATACGATGATTATTGTGATGATACTACTACTAATAATAATAACAATATTATTATTATTATTATAGAAAAAAAGAAAGAGCCAGAAGGAGAGAGACAAAGTTAATTACGAAACTGAATATTAACAATATTATTATTATTATTATTAATTATAAATTTATCAATGAGATTATTGTTTGAAAAGAGACACAGTGAAAGAAAAAAGGTTACAAATGCTGCCGTCGGAAGAATTTAATTCCTTTTTAATTTATGACCTCCGCGACTATCACGCCCGTCAAAAGCATCGTAAATAATGCACAACCTTGTCTTTCCAATCTCTCTCCCTCCCTCCCTCCCTCTCTCTCTCTCTCTCTCTCTCTCTCTCTCTCTCTCTCTCTCTCTCTCTTGTTTCGTTTATTCCCATGAATACACGTACATGAAACACTTTCCTAGATGTTCATAGATAAATTATGGAGCGCCGATTATTATTCATCATCAATTGCATTAATTTATTATCCAAGATGCTATAAAAAGCCAGCGACTGATTGATTGGATGTTGGGCATTGATTGACTGGATGTAATAATGAAAGAATAATGTTTTGTTTCTGTAACATAAAAATAACAATGCTTGTGTGTGTCTATTTGCTTGTTTTTTGTCTTTTTGGTCGTAAGCAATTATAATTAAAGGAAAGAGAGAAAATAGAGAGAGAGAGAGAGAGAAAGAGAGAGAGAAGGAGAGGACAGGAAAATAAGGAAGGGTGAAAGATTAAAAAAGAATTGGATGTAACTATCCGTTAAATGTGAGGCATTCAATGAACAATTGTTTCAACGTTATTTTTGGCTGGATTCCTCATAAAATCGTAAACACATTCGCAGACATAATAGGCAGTAATTATATCATGAATAGAATATACAAATACACATACAACATAATACCCTGTACATAAGTTTGAATGATTTAAATGTGTTTTATAAATAGAATGCCGGTTAAAATTTTTCAACAATTGTGTGAGTAAAAACAAACAAACAAGCCGAACAAACGAAGAAAACAAACGAGGGAACACCACGTCTTCAAGAGTGTTTTGTCTGCAGATTACAAGAACGTAAACATGTTAGACGAAGTTTTAAAATCAAAAATAACTAATAAAAAGATGCTTTTACATCTGATTATTTCGTTAGTTTGTTGTTGTTTCTATGGTTTAATAGCATTATATTTGGTTGCAAAAAGAAATTTATAATGTTGGAGTAAATTGTTGTTGTTGTTTGTAAATAAGCAGACTGCGTGTAAGTGTTAATGTTTTAAAATTGTCATGCGTATTGCACAGCTTATTGACGATCTCATTACGATTTGCTCGGGAAGAGATTTTTTGAATCAAATAATGAAGATCAAACTTTTGTTTCAATTGGTCTCATTTAAAAAATAACTCGGAAAAAGATCACTAAGCAAGAAGAACAACAAATTGTCTGAACAGCTGTTAGTTGGAAAATTTATTTTTTCTTGCAATGCAATCAAATTTCCTCGATTTTTCAATTCGTTTATGTATTAGAAACATTTTTTGTTTAATTTTGTACAATGAAACAATTTTTACTCGTGAAAAACAATCGACCAAATCAAAGCTCAAATGGAAAACCAATACAAATTTTAATAATTGTTATCGCGCGAAAAATTTATTTTAAAACTAAATAGAAACTCAATTGCACCTTAAGAGGAGTTTGACATAACTCAAACTCAAATACGAATGAACGAGAGAGAGAAAGAGAGAAAGAGAGAGAGAGAGAGAGAGAGAGAGAGATAGAGAAAATGATGCGTGGTAGTTATCTGCTCTGGTGGACTACCGAGGAGCAAACAAGGTGGTCGGTCGGTCGGTCGTTCGGTCGGTCGGTCGGTCAGATAGTCAGTTAGTCGGACAGTCAGTCAGTTAGAATGCACAATTCAACAGAATAGTCATTGTTGCTCAATCCTGGATTGTTAAACATGCTTATCTGTGTATGTGGTTGGACGTGTAAGTGTGTGTGTGTGTGTTTGTGAGTGTGTGTGTGTGTGTCTATGTCTGTGTGTGTTTGTCTACATGTACGTGCAGTGAATGCTTATAAGAATATTCTTGCTTCTGTAAAACTGATCGTGGATACTTGAAATGTTAAAAATTGATGCTGCTGTTATATCCAATAAATTGCCCAAAATTATCTAAGTGGAAAATCCATCCGCATATAAAAATTGCATGTTAAGCAGGCGCGTGCAGTACATTGCATACGTACGTATACATGCATTTTCACTAAAATATAAAAACATAAAAACGTACACCCACAAAAACATAAAAACGTACACCCAGATGAAACCAAACGTGTACGTGCATGCATGTACGGATTTAAACAGAGATGCGTTACACGGATTCACTTTTACAGAAAAAACACACAATTACATACATACAGATATGTACACAAAAACGTTCACGCATACAAATAACAACACGTATTTCTGTACACAGACTTACACACAGATAAGCTTACACACTCACATATGCATACAACATGCAAACAAACAGACAAACAAACAAACAAACACATACATACATTTATTCATATGTGCGTGATTCGTTTATTGAGTGAGAACCATGGCTCTGATTAAAAACCAGATGAGGCATAAACTCCATGTATGAATGTGCATATACCTATGTACATAAACACGTATATATATACATACATCTATTCATATCAATATACCCTTGTATTTAAAATATTTTTTTTTATAATAGTCATTGTATTTTTAAAAAATACAAACAAAAAAGAAAAATTTGCCTCATAAAACGTGGAAAAAATTTGCCAAACGTCACGAGTATTTTATGCTTAGAATAAACTCAAAAATAAAATAATGGTTATGAGTATTATAACTTAAAATGACGATGACGACGACGATGATGATGACCATGATGACGACGACGATGATGATGGCGGTGAGTATGAAAATGATAAGATTGGATTGATGAATGAAGACTTTGTTATATCCAATAAATTGATAACAGACCTTTAGGAATGAGGTTAAACAAACACATTCACATTGATGATGCTTGCTCTCTTGCTGGCCCGATCGCTATAATAGGCATCATTTTCATCATCATTTTACTCGCTTCGTCGCATTGTTTTTGTAACCAGCGTCAAATTTTTAATCATCATCATCAGCATTATCAACATAATCATTTTTATCATTATTATCATCACACGCCGTTACAATCATTATAACGACAAATCGCCATCTCATTGTCTTCATTATCAATCATCAACACAATCATCATCATTATCACATCACACCAACACCATCGTCACCATCATTATTATCACATTTCGCCAACACAATCATCATTATCACATCATACCAACACCACCACCACAACGACAAAAGCACCATATCATTATCATACCATACCACATCATCATCATCTTCTTCTTCTTCTTTATCACCAACTTCTTCATCGCGGGCTTTTCCCTGTCCATGTCAGACAGGTGCACGGGACCACCTTACATGACATTTGCCCTGTTTGTTGGTTTATCGGTTGTGCTCAGTCTTTGTTATTATTCTTTTTTATTTATTTTATTTCTTATTTGTTTCCATCGTATGTTTGTTCTGACTTGTTGTTATTATTGTTATTTCCATCCTTATTTTATCGTTTTTTTTATTTTCTCGTTTTTATTATTCTTATTGTTATTTTTAATATTATTTCTATTTACTTCTAATGTTAGCAGTGACGGATTTAGAGGGGGCGGAGCGGGAAAGCCATGGTACCCTTGGCCGTAGTTTAGTTTAGTTGTAGTTGTGTTGTAATTATTTTCTTTAATGTAGCCAACTTGTATTCTCGAGTACATTTTAGACATCAATGAAACACTGCTTTAATAATAGCGAATCATTCATATTGACCTGTGCTTCTTAATTTATTTTTATCAACTACGTAAATCTTTGTAAATAAAAATGACAACAACTTCAACTGAAATGATGAATGAAAATATTGAATGTGAATGAAAAGAATTGAGTTAGTTATTGTCTGGCGCTCGCTTTGACTGCTTTGGCTGGTACCGTATGAACGCGTATAACTGACGGTATCCTCAAATTAAAACATTTCTTTGTAAAAAATGTGTGTTTGTGCGCGTGTGCGTGTGCGTTTACGTGTGTGGGCTTTTGTGTGTTGCATGTGAGGATGTGTGGAATACACGTGGTTCATATGTGCTACAGTTTAAATGCTCCCGTGCGTTTCGCGCCAGTGCCTACTAACTTTTTATGGTTCTTTCCTTTGGGCGGTTGCCTGCTTTCCAGGGAATTTTATAACTGGTATTTGTATTTTTAATTGTCATCTGCTTTTATTTTTTTACTTTTCATACTGGAGTGAAAAATGTGTGTGTCTGTATGTGTGTTTGTATGTGTGTTTGTTTGTATGTGTTTTTGTGTGTGTGTGTTTGTTTGTATGTGTGTGCGTTTGCGTCCACGTGCATTCTATTCACTGAGTGTATGAGTTGTTTATAATGTTGTTTATGTACGTGTGGTTATCATCTGATGGCCGTCTTCATTCCACACACACACACACACACACACACACACACACACACACAAACACACACACGCACACAGCAACAACCTCCACGCACCAACATCTGCGTTGAAAGCAATGCTTCAATTGAAATCGTCTGTGTAATCTGTGAAGAGATAGAAAAAGAAGAAGATGCTGATGATGATGTAATGCTGTCTTTGATGATGATGATGATGTTGGGGAAAATGATGATGAGGATGGTAATTATTTGTAGATGATATTCTGGCTGATAGCGATAATAATAGTGAATTTATTTTAGTTAGACCATGAAAATAGCCAACCTAACTGTGAATAAAGTTACTACTAATACAGTTAAAGGATTTGATACAGTTGCAGTCGATGAATGATGTCAATTTTTTCACAAGAATTAAAATTACGATCTTTTATTAAAAAAAAAATAAAATAATAACAAAATTTTGATGAAGCGTTTGCTAAATATAATCAATGAACAAAAATAATGAAATGAAATCTTTATTAGCAAACGATATTAGGGCGTTGTAATAACTATACTCTCTCTTTCTCTTTCTCTTTCTCTCTCTCTCTCTCTCTCTCTCTCTCTCTCTCTCTCTCTCTTTCTCTTAATTTTTTAGGCCACTCTTTACTAAAATATTTAAATATATATATATATATATATATATATATATATATATATAAATAATATAAATATATACAATCATAAATAAATAAATATATATATATATCCATATTGTATATATAGTTAATTGGTCCTTTGTGTATTTTTTAAGAAGATTCGTTTCGTTGCGCCAACTGACTCAAGTGAATTATTTCTTTCTTTCTGTTTCATTCTTTCATTTATTTATTCATGCATGCCTTCATTCATTCGTTCGTTCGAGTGTTCAATCAATCATTCGTTCATTCGTTCATTCATTCATTCATTCATTCATTCATTCATTCATTCATTCATTCATTCATTCATTCATTCATTCATTCATTCATTCATTCATTCATTCATTCATGTTTTTGACATTATGTCAAACGTCAACATTTTATTTTTAACGGATCTTTCAATTATATTTTCATTAATAATTAAAAAAAATTTTTCCTGTTATTGCATCTCTTGACTTCATATTGCTTCTTACTGTCTCTCATCTCATGTTGAGATCATTTTTGCATTGTTTGGTGTGACACTTTTTTCTTGTTGGTAGCCTACATACTGCCTTAATACTAACTTTAGTTTACTTACTTTATTTGTAAATAAATTTTCCCAATTTAAACATAATTATTTATAGTATACTTTATAAAATTCTATTAAAAGTATTTTCTATAAAAATTTTCAAACAATTATAAAACATTTCACCATTAGAATGCCACGCAATTGCATGGTGACTATCCGCATCAACATTAATCGATCTTCATGAACATTAACACAATTTCACACACACACACACAGACAAACACATAAACACTCACACACACACGTGTATAGACACACAGACTCTACTACACATGTGAAGTGACTATGAACATGAGTGTAATTTTAAACGCATGAACGCATGTGCACACGTACATGTATGTGCGTGTAGTTAATCATTATTGCTTTGCTTCCAACGTTTTCCGTGCCCGTGTGTCGAACAATGGAAAGTAGAAACTGGTGTTTCGTTCATAAGGAAGTAGTCGTTCTCTTTCCAGGAAAACATAAATGAATTATTAGATGAAAGAATTAATGATTGATTGACAGAGATGGATAATTAAATGAATGAATGAATGAATAAATGAATGAATGAATGAATGAATGAATGAATGAATGAATGAATGAATAAATGAATGAATGAATGAATGAATGATTGATTGATTGATTGATTGATTGATTGATTGATTGATTGATTGATTGATTGATTGATTGATTGATTGATTGATTGATTGATTGATTGATTGATTGATTGATTGATTGATTGATTGATTGATTGATTGATTGATTGATTGATTGATTGATTGATTGATTAAATGAATGAATGAAGGAATGAAGGAAGGAATGAAGGAATGAATGAATGATTAAACCATTAAACACGCGCGCATATATAAAAGAATTATTGAATTGAATTGAATATATATATATATATATATATATATATATATATATATATTATATATATATAACACACACATACACACACTTACATATATAAATACACTCACATACACATGGAAATATGTTCTACATACATGTAACTATGAACTATAACTTTTAAACGCATCGACGCATATGTACACGTACATGTGCATGCGTTCGTGTAGTTAATCACAGACGGACACACGCACACGCACGCATACACACATTTATATAAGGCGCATTATATGTATTCATTGCACATACATATAACCTTACATTTTATTATTAAGTGTGTCTGCTTGAATATCGTTCAACGGAGCGTGGAGATAAATAAATTAGACGAATGCTACAAAGATCAATGTGGAGAGGCATCAGAGGATGGATGGATAGATGAGTGGATGGATGAATGAGTGAATGGATGGATGGATGAGTGGATGGATGGATAGATAGATGGATGGATGGATAATGGAGGATTAGATAAGTTAATATATAAACTGATGGATAGTATTATTGTTTATATAAATTATCAGTGGAAATATATTTATGAAGCATTTACTAATGCGTCATACGTTACATTTACAAACGCAAACACACAGCACACACACACACAAGTACTAGACACACACGCGCACATATCACACACACACACACACACATACACATACGACTTACACACACATAATGGAATTAATCGGGCGCAATAAAAGTGAATCTAGATGATTAATTTTTTTCTTGCCGTCAATTGTGGAAATAATGAAATTAGGCGAGGGTGGCTGGTTTGGCAGGATTGATTATTCAGTTGTTGTAGCGCGGGGTGATACAATTGTGTTGAGTTTGTATGCTTGTTTGTTTGTATGTTTGTTTATTTGTTATATGTTTGTTTGTAAGTCGTATACTGGTTTGTAAGATGTATATATTTGTTTGTTTGTTGTATGTTTATTTGTTTGTAAGTTGTATGTTTGTTGGTTGTAATCTTGTTTGTTGTATGTGTTTTTGTAGATTGTATGTTTGATTGTTGAATACATGTTCCCATCTTTGCGTTTTGTTATTAATTTTAGTTAATGTTTTGTGTTGCGGATTTTATATTTATATTTTATGCGGATTATATTTTTGATTCATTGTCGGTTTGAATGGAAATCTATTTGGTATAAGATTAAGAAATATATTTTTGTTGATTTTTGGAAATACCTAATCATCATCTCGACCAATGATACGTGAATACTTCCAGCCGTTTGTTTTTATGTTAGGTTTTTTTTTCTGTACCGGCAAGAATTGCTGTTCAAATAATGAGGCCCCTATGCTATTAAAAGGTCGTCATCATTTTTTAATCATAATCGTCATCATTGTCAATATCATCATGATTATCATATTTTTATGAGAAGTGTCATCATCGTCGTCATCATCATCATCATCATTTTTCGATCATCACAATCACGACCGCATCAACCTCGTCATCAGTATCATTATCATCATTTCAAGCATCATCACTATCACCGTAATCATGCTTTCATCATAAATATTATGTCGTCGTCATCATCAAAAATATCGCCGCTATCATAATCCTGGTTCCACCATCTTTTATAACCATCGTCACAATCAGGAACCCAATCGACATAACCATCATCTCCTTCCCCATCATCAACTTCTTCTTCATCATCATCACCTTCTTCATTATCATCATCGCCTTCATCCTCATCATCATCAACATCATCATCATAATCATCTCTATCATCATCACCATCAACATCATCATGTTTTTCTTCATCGTCATCTTTATCATCATCACCATCACCATCATCATGTTTTTCTTCATCGTCATCTTTATCATCATCACCATCATAATCTACTGAGAAATACGACTACGTACTTCCTTTCGTGTTTATAAGTAACGCTAACTGCACACCGTTCATACATTACCCACAACTACTTCCATAAATATACAAATTACTACTGCTCCAATTACATTACAAATTACCACTACTTTCATTACCATACAGATTACTGATTACTTTTACTTGTATTACTTCTTATCACTGAAGCTGTTAATGTTTATTTCTTTAATTTTTTTGTTGATGATGATAAATAATGTTACACGTTGTGTTTTTTGTTGGAAGTTCCATTTAATAATATTGTTAAAAGTTAAACTGTTACTGTAATATATGTGAAAAATAAATACTAATTGCGATCCTCACAATCTTCATAATCATTTTTCTCTTTTTCTACATCGTCATCATCATCTTCTTCGTTTTCTTCTTCTTCTTCTTCTTCTTCTTCTTCTTCTTCTTCTTCTTCTTCTTCTTCTTCTTCTTCTTCTTCTTCTTCTGTATCTTTATCTTCTTCTTCTCTATCATCATCAACATCACATGCAAGGACTGCTAATAACAATGATATTGCTTATAAAATGTTCGTCGAAATTATCGCCAGCATTTTATTTCTTCTACGGTCGTCGACATTGCCTCATGGGACGACGACTACTAATGTAGCAAGCCACTCGCCGATATTTTTTGCGTATCACTAATGTTGTTCCGTCGCGGCGTGTTTGTTTATTCACTGTTCACCCCACCCAGAAGAACCACATCGTATGTGCAAACGTGTGGTTCTGTTGTAAAGCGCGAGCGAGTTTGCGTTGGTTTGCAGTGTTTTTTGTTGTTGTTCATTCGCAAACATAAGCGATGGTCATTTATTTGAATGAACGTTTTTTATAAATAAAAATTTACAAATAATTTGTTGTTCTTCATTTACAGTTCTTGTTTGCCTATATTCGATTTGTATTGAGGGTGAAATAATATATGCGCAACAACAAACATACAAACACAACAGAAACCTGCTGCTCTCCACATGCACTCGTAAGCGAACATGCGAGGGAATGTGTGCATGTGTGCAAGTAAGCCTGTTTGTGTGTATGTGTGTGTTTGTTCGTGTGTGTGTGCAAAATAATTAAATTAAGATACCATTTGCTAGGAGAGCTT